CTCATACTTTACTTGGCTCTTCCTCTGCTTTTCATTTGCTCTTTTCCGGTGCTCCCAACAACCCTCCCAACTGGCCTGTCTCATCTTTGATGTTGTCACCACGGACAGAAAGCTCTCGGAAAAGGAAAGAACAAGTTGTAGACTCAGAATGTTTGCCCGCGAGGAAAATGCATGTTTGTGCAAAATCCTGTCTGACAGTTTCCATTGTAACTCAGAACTTGGGAGCCCAGCAGGCCCTAGGAAATATGAACATTGGCACTTTGTCGGGCTGCATGCTGATGGTACCCCGATGTCAGCCCCGTGTGCCACCAGAGATCTGAGTTTTGCAGATGGAATCGCTGGCTGCCTGCGGGTGGCTGCTGTTGCCGCAAGCACATGCACTGTGTGTCGCTTCGGAGCCTGTTTGTCTGCCCCTCAAGGTCTCCTCTTTGTTTTTCTGAAATGTGATGAAATGGAACGTGCTTTTAAAAATAGATATTTTCTGGAGATGGCCTGGCTGGGATTACTGGCTGCAGGCCCTACTTCTGCCCCATGAGTCCCTTATCTCATCGTGGCTGATGGGACATTGGCAAGGGCAGCTTGTATTTTTTTTCTTTTTATTCTTACTAGCCTTTCCAAACATTCTTACTATTCTTTGATCAGTTATTTACGTACAAGCTAAAGATTCAATAGAGTCCTTTAACTGTGCTTGTTTCTTTCTGCTTAATAACATTTAAAATTTTTTTCTGATTATCAAAGCAATATAGTGCTTATTAACATGTTCATGATGGGGCCATAATCCGAATGTTTCACTGCTGGGCAGCTCTGAACCATCAGTGATACATGCATGACTGTCCCGGTGGAAGCATGGGTGCTTCGAGCCAGCAGGAGCATGTTAAAAGGAGAAAGCCAAAAGAGCCTGGAACAATACACAGTAGAAAGCCTGGCTTTCCTCTTAAGTATGTGCTAGGGTTCTGTGGTTGGGAGAGAAGTTAGGTGATCTCAGCTAGTGTTCATCAGGCGGGGATGGTCTGGCTGCTTTGTAGGGTTGGCAGGGGAGAGGGTTTAGGACACTGTCTTAGTCACTTCCCTCAATGCTGGGACAAATTTAAGGAAGGAGAGGTTTATTTTGGCTCACGTTTCAGTCCATATTCAGCTGGCTGCAAGGCAGGATGGCATGGCAGAGGGGCATGGTGGAGAAGAGCTGCTCACAGCATAGTGGACAAGATGCAGAGAGGAAAAGAGGAGCCAGGAAGGAGATAAAACCTTTTAGGTTATGACCCCAGTTACCTGCCTCTTCCTCCTATCAACACAGCTTGTAAATTCATCAGTGGACTACACCAGTGAATATAGTGCCCTTGTGATCCAGTCACCTGCCCAAAGTCCCACCTCTGCACCCATTAGGCTTTGGGGGGACCTCCAGAATAAACCGAAAAATTTTGCCCTCGGCCCCCAAAAGACTTATGCACATTTCTTTATGCAAAATGCATTTATTTAGTCAATCTCCTAAGAGTTGCCAAAGTTGTAACAGCTCCATTACTGCTGAAAACTCCAAGTCTGAAATTACTCCTGAGACTTAAGGAAACCTTTTAGCTGTGAGCCACTGTAACAACCAAAGAGAAGGTTAAACACTTCCAACAGACAACGGTTCACAGTAAACATTCCCATTTCAAAAGGGAAGAATAGGGAGATAGAATCCAATGGGATCACAAGCAAGACTGAAACCCAGAAGGGCAAGCATTAAATCCTGTAGTTCCTTGTCCATTACCCAGGGCAAGATGTGATGAGATTTGAACAATGAAGGGTTTGGGCAGCTCAGCCCCTAAGGTGTTGCTAGTGGTTATAGCCCTCATGACTTCTGCCTTGGGCTGGCTTTGCTCATTCCTTGTAGCTCTCAGATGTTCTACATTCCTGGCTTCTCCAGCTTTCTGGGTCTCCACTGCACTTTTGGCTTCACTTTCACACTGCCTTCTCAGGGCACACTGCTTGGCCTCCTAGGCCTTCTTCTTCTTCTTCTACTTTTTTTGTACTGGGGATCAAACTCAGGTTTGTGTTTTTTTTTTTTTGGTTGTTTGAGACAGGGTCTCACTATATAGTTGAAACTGACCTGTAACTCACTATGTAGCCCAGGATGGTCTCGAACTCACAGCAAGCCTCCTGCCTCAGCTTCCGGAATGCTGGGATTACAGGTGTGCACCACCATGCCCTGCCTCCCAGGCCTTCTTTTGAAATCTGGGTGAAAGCCTCCCTGCTCCCCACAGCTCTTGGATTTAGCATACCTATATTGATGATGTCAAGGTCTCTTGCCAGCTTGAGCAGTAACCAGGCCCCCTTTAATTGTGGCTTCTGAGGGCTCTCAGTGCCTGTATTGGATGAGCACCCAGGGAACCAGTTGCCTAGGCGGCTCTTCTTGAGCAGAGTGCCCTGGGGCTCTCTTCTTAAAGCAAAGTTTTTCACTTTTGCAGTTTTGAGCCTGAAAAGGATAGGGCCTTTCTGATTCTTGACATGTCCTTAAGTCATTTTTTTCTACATGTTGTCCTGATCCAAAGTACTTGACTCCTCCCCGCCACCACCTTTTTTGAGACGGGGCTTTTACTGTGGAGTTCAGGTTGGCCTTGGACTCATTATGTAATCGATGCTGGCCTTGAACTCGAAGCAGTCCTCCTGCTTCAGCCTCCAGGATGCTGGGCTTACAGACACATGCCACCATGCCCAGTCTTGGCTTCTGTTTAAAGCTAGTCTTTTCAGCAGCCAAGTTCTCCTTTGCTCTATCTTTTTTTCTCTCTTTTTGGACTGGAAAATGTTTTATTTTTGAGCAAGATTTAACCTAGAATGTAATACACATCACAAGGGATCTGCTAGAGATTGCAAAGACAGGATTGTTACCCCCTGATACGGGCAAGTAGATGGCACCCATTGCATCATACGTACTTCATCCTGACTTTACCAGGGATGGAGTTGCCACGAACCTTAGCTTACTGTCTTTGTCTAGAGGAAGCACCAACTTTTTACATCTCGGTGATAGAAGGTATTTTGCAAAATTAGGCTCAGCCCTAGCACTGAAATGAGACAGGGGAGTCGTCGTTGTCTTCTTCTCCTTCATCTTCTTCCTCTTCCTCCTCTTCCTCTTCTTCTTTTCTTCTTCTTTCTTCATTTTTTGGTACCAGGGATTGAACTTCTGACCTTGCGCTTGCGAGGCAAGCAGCAGAACCGCTGAGCTAAATCCCTGGCCCTATCTTTTTAAAAATTTTTATGGGTACATTTTGTTTGTTTAGTACCAGCAATTGAACTCAGGACCTTGCACTTGTGAGATAGGTGTGGTGGCACTGAGCTAAATCCCCTGTGGTACATTTTAGATATACATAGTGATAATATTCACCATAGGGAATTTGTACCTGTATATGATATATATTTCTCATTCCCTTCAACCACTCTTTCCCTACTTCCTTACAAAAGTTTTATTTCCATTTTTTCCCTTCTATTTTTTTTCCCTTGTCTCTCCCTACCCCTGTCTTTATAGGTGGTTTCTTTCTGGCAAAACTGAAAGCTTAAATTGGGCTTTTTGTTCTTGATTTTCAGTATAAACATAGCTACAAGCTCCCAAAAATATCTGTGTCATAGCCTCAATATTGAGCTACCTTGAAATTTTCTCCACCAGATGAATTAGTCCAATGCCCTTGGTCTCCCACAATCTCACACCATGTGCAAAGTGTAGGCAAAATTTTTCCAGAGGATAACACATGTCTTTTGGAGTCCAACTACCAATGGGGTCTTTGTAACCAAATGAAACTTTATGAGCCTGGTGTTTACCTTGTGACTTTTTATCAACATTCTGGTCTTCTGAGCTCTGATTGGTATGGCACATCAAGCTCTAGCGTTCTGGGGCTGTTTCCCTCCAGCAGCATTTCTGAACCTTTCCAAACTCCTCCCATGAACCAGTTGCAAAGGCTTCTGAACCACATGGTTAGGCAGTAGCACAGCAACAACCCCACTCCTGGTACCAAAACCTGTATCCTCCAGGGTCCACTAGAGGAACAGATTTAATTTAAAAGGGTGTGTGCTTATATAAAGAATGTACTAGGCAGACTTACATTGGCTGCCCTTGGAATCTGGCTGATTCCGTGTTGAAAATCCAGTGTCTGTGTTGGGAGGCTGAAGAATTTCCACTGAAAGCCTGAAGGAACTGGAGGTATATGTCTGAAGGCAGTCGTGAAGACTGGAGCTCCTCCATAGAAGCAAAAGGGAAGATTTCCTTCTTTTTTTCCCTACCAGGATGTCTCCGGTACTAGAAGAAGGTAGTTAAAATATAGCTACAACCGAATGACCAGTGACAGAAATGTAGATTGCAGTTGTCACAAGTATTTTTTTCCTAAGCAGGTATCTTTGTTTGCTTTCTTTATAACATAATGTTGATAGATTTAATATCAGTTCTTCATTTTTAAAATCTATATTGTAATGTTTCAGTTATGGAATGGTAGAAGAGTAAGCATCACCCAAAGAAAACCTTTGCTGTCTATTCTGGGCAGAGAATTAGTGAGTTTCTGTTTGTATGCAAGATATTTGTTTCGTGTTAGGTGTAATTATGAACTTGTTTGTATTTGGAGACTAAATATGGCTTAAGGAGATACGTCTGATTGTCATGTTGACAAGGGGTGGATTGTGATTATTAATTATGCTATGTCAGCTTGAGTGGATTAAGAAATGCTTTGCATAGCCCAGTGTGGTGACACAAGGCTGTAATCCCAGCACCTAGGAGGCTGAAGCAGGAAGATTGCTGTGATTTTGAGGCTCTCCTGGGCTGCATAGTGAGTTCAAGGCCAGTTTGACAAAGCAGAATGGTATGCCTAGCAGATAACTGAAGCCCAGCCAGTTCTGGGTGTGTCTGTGAATGACTGACACATAGGCTGCAAACTGAGGAGGAAGGACCCACCCTGGATGTGGGTGGCACCAACCAATAAGCTTGCCTCCTGGGTGGAATAAAAAGGGGGAAGATGAAGCCTTCCTTTTGACTCTTTGGAGGAGTTCTGGTCTTCACCATGGCCTTTGGAGGTTTCTCTATGTTTCCAGGGGAGACTCTTCAGCCTTCCATTGTAGACCCTTCGGCTTTCAAATACGGACTTGCACCAGGCTCTGCAGTAGGCTCCATGCCTTCCACCAACTGGATCCTTCAGCTCTCCAAGTCGCAGACGGCGATTTGGCATCCTTCCGCCCCCTGTTTCACAGGTAGCCTTTGTAAGCTTACCTAGCAAACCCTTTCTACGATCATATCTGTGTATATTGTATATAGTAACTAAAGACAGGGATTAGAGGTGGGCGTGGTCAGGTTATTGCCGTGTGGTGGATTGATCTTGGGCTGGTTCCTTTGCTGCTGAGCTCCTCAGGTTTCTTGTGTATAAACTAGGGCTCACAGCAGTACTTCTACTTCCAGGGTACTGCAAGTTTTAAGTTAAAACAACAACAACAAAAACAAACTGCTGCATGTGACAGTTTTTCATGGCCATTCTTTCAAGTGGCTCTTTATAGTGGAAAGAGCTGCAGAGCCTGGCCTGACTGAGCACGGGGAAAATGGTCGTAACTGTTTGCTTGGACCGCACACTTGGCTTGGGTTGTGGTTTAAATAACGTAGACATCTGTGGTCTCAGAGTTCTGGAGGCTGCAAGGCCAAGGTCAAGCTCTGGCAAGGGTGGGGTCTCCTGAAGCTTCTCTTTGGCTTGCAGGTGGCCCCCTTTTTCCTGGGTATCACGTGATCTTCCCTCTATCTAATCGTCTCTCCGTCTGATGACACCAGTCATGTTGGGTTAGGGTCCACCCTAGCTGCCTGGTTTTAATTCAGTCACACTTCCAGAGACCCAGCTGTATTCTGAGGTGCTGGGTGTTAGTGCTTCCCTGTAAGATTCTTGGGAGAATGTGGTTCTGTCTGTAATACTCATCATTACTGCTCTTTGGTGGCTGTGTAGTGAGGAGCGCCCCAATGGCAGGCTTGGGAGGCCAGGCGCTCTGGGAAGGGCCAGTTTAAGGATTCAGGAAGCACCAAGAGCATGGGTTGTAGGCAGGTCCATTTGAGATTCTCAAACCAGCTGCTTCTCGGCAGTTCGGAGCGGCTGACTCAGGAGAGGAAGGGGTCCTGAAACTTGGCATTTTAATGTGATTCTGATGACTTATGGTAATAATTATAGCAATTAGTTAGAGATGTTTTCTGTCCAGCTTTGGAAGTTGGGCGATTGCCCCACCTTTATGGGTCCCACAGCCAGCAGGTGTCCAGGTGCTGGCTTGGGATCGTTTCCCTCCCTCAAGGGATCGGTGCTCCTGACTTTGTTCGCTGTAGGGTGCTCCCTCAGGGTCCTGTCTTCTTCCCTGTGACCTGCCCATAGGAGCTGAGTTTAGCTTGTGATTAACTCCTGGCGCTGGCCCCACCACATGTGGGATGTGGCTGCGCCGGGACCTGCTCTGGACATCTGTAGAATGTCAGGGTGGGTGGCATAGGGGCCCCTGGGGCTCTGAGAGGTTGACCTGGGCCTTGATAGCCTTGGATCTAACCCTGACTTCAGATCTTCACTGTTTGTCCAGCATAGGGGCTGGGGACAACAGTCATGGTCATGCAGGCTGCGGGCCTAGTTTGAGAGAGGGCTGGGCCTGGTTTTGGCCTCAGGGCTCCCGGCAGAGAGCCAGCAGGCTAGGAGCTGCGGGAACAGTTGAGTCCTCGTGCACTGGCCCACGTCCTCTCCACGTGCTGTCCTCTGTGGTTGTGGATGTGGATTTTGTTTTTTTCTCCCTACACAAAATAAGGAAATATTTTCTCTTGTTACTCAAGATTGAGGCTGTCTCCTGAGGGCTGCCCTTGTGTAAAAGATAACCCACATCCTTTTGTGCATTTGAAATGCTTGTCTGGTCTCCTTTTCCATTTCCTGTGGTTGACTTGGGGCAGTCTAAAGATATTGAATGGCCAGATTTTGCCCAAGCTGGGGCAGGGGAGTTTCCTGTGTTTGTTTGTTTATTTGTTTTGTTTTTGAGACAAGGCCTCCCTGTGTAGTTCAGGCTGGCCTTGAACTCACTGTGTAGCTGACTTTAAATTTGCAGTGATCCTTCTGCCTCATTCTCCTGAGTGCTGGGATTACAGGTGTGTGCCACCACGCCCAGCTTCTGCACTTGATGAATGTGAGTGACTGGGACCTGTTTTCTGCTGGGTGGAAACGATTGGTCTTGCGCTCAGCTGGAGGTAAATGGGATCACCTGGATCCCCAGACATAGTAGGTGTGAAGGTGGAGCACAGATGCTTTGCTCTAGGGTTTTCGGCAGAAGATCCTGAGACATGTCATCATGGTGGGATTGGGCTTGGCTGGTACAAGGAGTCTCCCTGCCTGAGTACGTTGGTGTAATAATGCAGCCCAGGCTGTACCCTGCAGTGAGTGTGGCAGAGAGGCATGCTTGTCCCCTGAACGGATTTCTTCAGGGGCGTGTGTACAGCTTTCCTGTTTGCAAAGCATCATCAAGGGTCCCTTCAAGCCAGTGTTTGCAAAATCCATACTGGGCATCCTCCAAACATTTAGGGAGGCTGAGACAGGAGGATCACACATTCATGATCTACCTGGGCAACTTTTCGAGACCCTGTCTCAAAATAAAAAATAAATTAAAAAGGGCCTGGGATGTAGCTCAGTGGTAGAGCACCTTTGGGTTTGATCTCCCAGTACCACAAAACAAAATAACAGCTGGTGCTAAGTGGAGGTGAACCCAGAGGATGCCTTGGGTTCAGGCAGGAGGGCGTCTTGCCCAGAGGAAGACTGGCCCCCTGGCTGCTCAGTCTTTCTTAGGTTCTGTTTCTTGTGGCCACAAAAGAAAAATTCATAGAAAAAGATAATTATGCTTTTTATTTTTCCCCTGAGGGCTCTTTCAGTCCCAATCATGTAAAGAATTTGGGAGAGACAGATTGGATTTTAGAGTTTAATTCCAATTAGCAGTTAATTACAATGGGCTTGCTGAACACTGGATGTCATAAAACTCTGTCTGGGGAGGTGGGGCCGAGTGAGGGCGGGATGCGGGTGTCCCTGCTCCATCCAGGGCACCTTTCTATGAGCTGAGCCTGGTCTCACTCTTCTTCTCAGTGCTTCTTTCTGGTCTCATCCAAGCCCGTCTGTTTCCTGATGGAGAAACCAGGGCCAATCAGTTGCCCCCTTCATTGGTTTCATGGCAGAATTTCTTTCACTTCCAAATGACCAAATCACAGCTTCTCTGCCTTCTGAGTCCTCCCCACACTGGTGAGATGGACCTGCCTCACAGCCTCCTTGCACCCCCTTGGCTTCTGGGTGCCCCTTCTCTTGTCCCTCCTGTTTCCCAGGGAATACTTTGTGTGTCTCTTCCAGAAATTCTTCCTCTTGCTCCTGTCTTCCCAGGTCGACTTCCTGGAAAGCGGTCCTGCACTGTTGAGAGAGTCCTAGATCCATCCCTCTTTCCCTCAGCTTTTTCTTAGCCGAGGACTTAGCCCTGGCTTGTCACTGGCTTCCTCCAGGCTCTGGGGAGCGATTCCCAAGTGGACTGGCTTGGTCGCAGACTTTCTGTGTGGCTCCAGACTCATTTCTGGGGGTCTGCAGGGCTGCTTCATGGATCGGTTTTCTCAGTGACTTTCCATTCTCTGCCTCTGTGGACGATGTCACCTTCCCGGACAGTCTGGCCCAACGCTGGTGTTTCCTCTCTCCCACTGCCTCCCTCCTGCCGTCAGCCATGGGTATTCCAGATCCCAGGGCTGAGCGGCTGGACCACTGGTTGGACCGGTGTTGGATTGTGAAGGCATGGCTTTTGTCACTCAAGAGCCCAGATTGTAATGGAGAAGGATAAAGCAGGTAAAGCTCTTGCTTTTTCTTTTTTCCTCATGGTAGTGAGGGTTGAACCCAGGGCTTCACATATGGTATGCAAGCTAAGCTGTAACCCCAGCCCGTATTACATTGTACTATCTTGTTTCTGTCTCTGTCTCTGTATATGTATGTGTATACGAGGGTTGTGACAGGGTCTCGCTATGTAATACAGGCTGGCCTTGAACTTACTATGTGGCCCAGGTTGCCCTTGAACTCGCAGTGATCCTTCTGCCTTAGCCTCCCAAGTGCTGGGATTGCATGCCCAGTTTTCTTCTCTTTGATATTGTTATATTATATTAATATATTTTGAGAGTTCTGTAGGTCTCACTAACTTTGTCCTGGCTGGCTTTAAACTTGTAATCCTCCTGTGTCAGCCTCCTAGTCTGAGTTACTCTGCCTGGCAAGCACTTGCTTTTTAATTTATTTTCCGTGTGTGCACGCACATGTGTGTGTGTGTGTGTGTGTGTGTGTGTGTGAGATTTTGTTTTGAATAAGAGTGGCAAGAAGGAGATGGAGTTACCAGAAGAGAAGAAGCCTGGAAGGAGGGAAAGGACTGGGAATAACTTTTGGAGGGACCCCCAGGCTGCCTGAGCTGGACACAAGCATCATTCACCAGCAGCTCTCTGGTGGGTACAAAGGGCTTTTAGCACCTGGTCTTCTGTTTACTTGGCACAGCCAGCTGTGCCACACAGGCAGTACAAAGGCTTGAGCCTCAGTGTACAGGTGAGGTGCTGAAGAAGTGGGAGGGGTGGCCAAGGCAGGAACACGCTGGGCCACACAGTTCTGACCCTGTGTCCCTCCCAGGGACCCGGGTCACTGTGTGTTCCGCCCTGTGTCAGGGTACCGAGTCGCCTTGGTGGCCAGTAATTTTCAAGCCTGCAGTGCAGATGAGGAAGGCAGAATGGGCTGCTTTCCTTGTGGTTACCCTCTTTGGCCTCTCTGGACAGAATGTCCCTGACCTGTCCAGCCGGTGTCACGTCACCTTCCTGCTTATGTCAGGAGCTCCGGCTGTTCCCAGAGCTGTGATTTCCTGTGTCTGACTCCTCCTCAACTTACCTCGAACTGAGATGAATGGGACGTGGCCATGCGGGGATGACGTGTGGGACCTTGGGGGAGAAACAGCATTTACTGTTCTTTTGCATTTGGTCTCGGCATCAGAATCATGAACAGATTCCAGAAACTTTGTCTCGCTTCATTTCCTGACACTTTCTGAAGATCTGGGAGGAGTCTTCTTCAGCTTGTTCCCGAGATTGTATTGGGCTTTGCTGAGGGGACCCGGAGGGGTAGCAAGGTCAGAGAGGTCAAAGCCAGGACTGGCGGATGCAGCTGGCAGCTGAGGTGCGTGGTGTTGACCGGAGCGACCGCTCTCATGCGTGC